CAGTGGTGCTCGTGGGGTGCTCACGAGCATGTGCATGGTGCACTCGCAGGGGCAGAGCACACTCGTGCATGGCATGCGCATGGCAGCACTCACAGGGGGGCAGGAGATCTGCATCCATGTCCCGGTCCTGCCATGGCCATGGACCACCACAGGGCTGCGGACTGGGGGTTGAGGACCCCTGCCTTAAAGAACATCTGTAACAAATTGTCATTTGGAGGAGTGAGAGGGTTTTTTCAGATGTATCTGAAGAACATCTGTTGCTGGGGCTAAGATGTTCCCCCCAATTTTACAGCTGTTTTCAAACATGGTTTTACTTTTCCCCAGATGAGTGAGTGACACTCATTGGTGTATATAAGAACAGTTTACTATGGAATGAACACTACCCATAATTTCTCCATCTGAGGAGCATAGCTTCTTCTTTTCTTTGTAACCTGCTTGTCACATTCTCATTCTGGCTTCAGTGCTTTGATCATAGAGCAGCATGACAAAAAGGGCCCTTTGGGTGGCTGCTTCCAGGCTGTGGCATTCTCTCCCATGGGAGAAAAGGCTGACTCCCTCCCTGTTGTCCTTTCATTAGCATGTGAAGATTTTTTGGGTTAGACAAGCTTGTGACAACTCCTTGCCTGCTGAAGGATGGGCATTCAATGGGACATGCTGTTTAGAAAAACTTCATTAAATGTACTTCAAAATTAATTTTGTTCTAAACTGTTTTAGGGAATTAAACGTGTGATACAGTATCTGAAATTTTGTTGCTTAGCATAGTAAATTGCACTAGAGTAGGATTTCCAGTGTGATGTAGTGCAGTGATCCTCAATCTTGGGCCTCCAGATGTTCTTGGACTACCACTCCCAGAAGCCTTCACCACCACCTCTGTTGGCCAGGATTTCTGGGAGCTGAAGTCCAAGAACATCTGGAGGCCCAAGGTTGGGGACCACTGATGTAGTGGATACAGGGAGAGACTAGGACTCTGGAGAACACACTTCAAATTCCTGCTTGGCCATGGAAACTGTAGGAGTGGAACTGGTGAACCACTCCTTGAATATCTCACCTACCTTGAAAGACCTATTAGGGTCACACAATAAGTTGGTTCTAACTTGAGGGCACAGAACACAGGACCATTGAATCCGTGGGAATTTGGTGAGTCAACTCCTCTGTAAATTCCATTGATTCAAATGGGTCTAGTAAATTACTGTGTTAAAATAAGTTGCAACTATAACAGGCCCATCTGAGACTATGGAACTAATAGAGAAATTGACTCACCAAAACTCCACTGATTCAATGGGGTACTCTGATGCAACTTACTAAGCTAAGCAACAAGATTTCAGTTTATATTTAAGTGCTTTTTAATATTATAATGTATTGTGTTTTTAGGCAATTTTAGGAGTTCCTGTATTATCAGAAAGGCAGGACATTGAATAAATAAATTTAGGGCCTAGCTTTTTGGTAGACTTTACCAGTTAACCACAAGACTAAGCTTGTTAACTCTGTCAAATCTGCAACCACTTGGGTTAACAGGTGATGATATAATGATGCAGCTGCTCCTTGCTCCTAAGTGTGTGTTGCTGGTTTTATACGAAGTTCAAAATCTACAAGGGCACCTCCTTGGGACTTATCTTTGTAAGGCCCATCTATAATTCTTCATTACTATGCAAGCTTTCGGGTTTTCACAGAATTCTTCATCAGATGATGTATTTTTAAAAGTTGATAAAGTACGAGAATCTGAAAGTTTGGCTTAATGGCTAACCAATGGAATGTGCAGTTAAGCTAAGCCCTGAAATGGATATGCAAGGTTTGTGATTTTTTGTCAGCCATCTGTGGTGCTGCAGCACCTGCTTTAAACGAATCTGGCAGGTTTGCCACCACCAAAACAGCTGTGTGATGGGAATATCCATCTGCCCTACTTCATACAGATAGCTGTTGTTAATGCCTGAGGTCCAGGAAGTGGATTTCACTAGCTCTTTTACAAACATCTAAGCCTAAGTCACATGGTTGGAAGGAGGGAGAAAGATAATAGACATTCTTCACCATCTGCTTTGTGATAAAACTATACAGCTGTTTGTTTAACAGTCCTGTGTAGACAGATCGGCTAGATCAAATTTAAGGCTTCTTATTTAGGAGTACAGCTGGAAACAACATATGACAATGGCAGGCAGGTGCTTGTGTTAAACTGACTGCTAAATTTTGTATGTGCGAAGGAGGCGTGTTTTGTTCCTTAACATGTACAAGGAGGAAATCTTGTACATGCTCTTCTGTCCTTCCTCTGTAACCACCTGATTAGCAATTGTGTTAGGGCAGGACCCCATTTGCAGATTAAATCAGTGGCTCTCAACCAGTAGTACACATACCACTGGTGGAACACTATGGTAGTCTAGATGGCACACAATGTTTCCACAGCTTTTCGGAGAGATAGCCTTAGTAGTCTCAGAATGTGTAAGAAAAACAAAACAAGAATTTAAACAAACTGGGACATTGTAGCACTCAAGGACTAATGGATTAGTCCAGTGGGAGTTTACATGGATTACAATCTCTTTCGTCAGATACACTTAGGGTGTGTTGGAAAGTTATTATTAAGAATCCACTCTTGCTCAGTCTCTATGAAAGAAAAAGGCACGATCAAACAACAGATGTGGGATGTTTTTCACCAGGTGGACAGAGCTCAGGTCGCACATTATCCAGTGCCCAGGAATTATAATAAAATCTTTGCCCTGGCAGATCAGCCTTTTAATTTAGAAGTCAGCAGTTATCCTAGAGTTTTCATCTTGGCATAGGTCAGTGTACCACCATCAAACTTACTGAAAGAAAAGTACTCCCGTGTCCCTTATTTGCAGCACTTTTGTCCTTGCTTATTAGGTACAACTGAGGCGACTGAACATGTTTATTGTATTGTCCATTTTATAAAGATATTCAGCATACATTAAAATCTCCTATTTTAAAAAGATTCTGAGGTAGATCTGCTAAGCACTACGTCTACCTCTTTTTTTTCCTGATTGTTTAAGCAAAATTACTCTTAAGGTTGCAAAATTCTGTTCAGTTGACGCGTACAGCAAGAAAGAAACTGGTAAACGATTCTTCAAACCATTCTCTGAGCACTGTATAGTTGCATTATATCGTGGACAGTGACATTTGTAAGTTGTTTGCTTCGGATTATTGTTACTTATTTTGTTTCTATCATATTGCTTTTAAGTTGATGGCCTTTGGTTGTACTTGATGAGATTTGTATTTTCTGTACTTTCCATGGTATCTCATCTTACGTTCTAAAGGGGGGGGGAGTTTAGGGCTGGATGAGCAAACTCATCAACTTTATGATACACAAAGAAAGAATGCATAAATTCTTTTGTAAGCTAAGTAGAGAAGGATAAAACAAAGCCTGAATTACAAATACAGGTATCCGTCAGCACCACCTTACCTTGGAACTGACATTGTTTTTTGTGATGTGGTTATCTTCACAACTGCTGGAGGGCTCCATAACAGAGAGAAGAAGCCTACTTATTATTTCACATACACCCACTTTTCATTCAGTGAGCTCAAAATGGTGAACATAGAAAAGATCAACTGTAATATTTTCTGTTTTGTTCCCTGCTTGAGGAACACACCAGAATCAAAATGGTCTTACAAATAAACCACAAAAGTAGAAAAATAAATGTGTTATTAAACCTTTGTGCTATGTTGATTAACTGGCTAATCAGTTGAAATGTTATTGGGATGAATCTACCAATTAGAGTTTAAAGCCTTTCTAAATAAAAGACACCTTTGTTGTGTCTTTCCTGTAGCCTTGGGCAATTGCTTTCTCTCATCCTTGGCTCTGTTTATGAAATATGGAGATAACAATGTCAGATTATTATAAAGGATTGTTAAAATGATGTCTTACTTTACCTTTCAGCAGTGTTGGGCATGCTCCAAAAACCTTGGGGACCCCTGGACCCACTCTGGGCAACACCAGCCCCAGAAAACATATAAATGATCAGAAGTCTAACTTTTGTAAAAGCACTTCAATAGGTCCAAAGCAAGAGGCAGGCAAGGTCTCTGTGCCTTGTTTTAATGCACAAGCACCTCTCCTAGTCACCTTCACAAGCAGAAGTTGCTTTTCTTTTTAGGAATTCCAACATGATTCCAAACTAGAGATAGGCATGAGTTAAATACGAAGATATCCGTGTGGCACCACTCCTGGATCGCTGCCTCACTCACAAGCCTCCACGCACCATCACAGTCATCCTCCATCTCTGGCTGCCCAGTCCAGGAAGGTGTTTGGGCTTTCCTTCCCTGCCTCCTCCAGCAGCCAACCATTCAATGGCTGCAGGGAGAATCCTGTCCCACCTCCTCATCTGAGTGGTTGGTTGCTGGAAGAGGCAGGGAATAGAAGCTTGAGCTCCTTCCCAGACTGGGCAGCCAAAGATGGAGGCGGCGCATGGAGGCTTATGAGCAAACAGGCATCTGGGAGGCGGGGGGAGGGAACGTGCATGGTGCCACGTGGAGATCTTCGTATGAAAAGGCATGATTTAAGTCATGTCCATCTCCATTCCCAACCCTGCCTTATAGGATTATTATAGTAATTCCTCAGATAATGTATGTGGAAGTACTTTGAAAGCTAAAAACAATCTGTATGCAAATGCTATGCTGTAGTCTTGTTAGTGTTAATAGTGGAAGCCATTCAGCTTTTGTACTTCCAGGAGAGCAGTCCATAATTAAACTTGGCTTGAGATGCTGTTTCTTTGTTATATGTCTGCAGAACCAATGTGCATGGTGCTTACAAGTGGAAAAGTTGCTGCTACAAGGAATTAACAAGCCAAAATTTTACACTAGTACGTAAGTAGAGGAAGGGCTTGGAAGCTGAGGCATGGGATAAACAGGGAAACATTATGTTGTGGTTTGAGTTGCATGGGTTCAGGCTTCGTTACCAGCTGAGTTCCAGTAGGGCATGAGGACTGAGGTGTTAGATCAAAAGCACAAAGACTTACCACTGGCAAAATAATTATATCTAATGCAACTTATTAAATCTGCAGAGCTGCTTCTTCTGCATTACTTCATGCAACTTGTGTGTACTGCCTGAATTATCCAGTTGTGACACTGGGAGGTAAAGAAGAGCTACAGTTTTTGAATACTTCAGTTTAGTCCTATTCTCTGAACTCTTCAGCAGGTAAGCTCCTCCTCAATGTTCTTGTGCTGTTTATTCAGCTATAATGCTCTTGGTTTGTTATTTGTGCAAGGTCATCCAACCCTGTAGACCCTAAAGGCAGCTGCCCATGAGAGCAGAATTCAGGGAATTCTCCAAGAATGAGATAAGTCCTGTAAAAGTCCTCCTCCTTTTCTTTGAACAGTGTGTCACAGAGTTGTGCTGTTTGTTTTCTTAGTTGTACTCCCCTTCCTCATCCAAACGTGTGAAGGAAGTGAACATCTCTTTCCTCAGAACAGGAAAAGAAGATTCAGTTAAGAGAGTGTTTGAGGAAAACTAGGTCTTCCTCCCCACTCCCCCCATAGAAACAAAATGCACAACCTTCTAAAGCACCAAAATAGATTCACCAAACTGTACTGTTGAAATGAAGATCCAGGTGGCAGCCTTAGTTTCATTAATGTCTCAAATGCACTGTGTCTGTGCTTGAGGTAGAAGGACAGGTCTACACAACCCATCATGCTAAAAACTGCCTGTGAGAAATGTGTTCTCCAGTAGCCCTTGACAGGCCCGCCTGTTTTGGCTGCTGTTCTCAAATTGCCTAAAATAGTGGTCCCCAACCTTGGGTCTCCAGATGTTCTTGGACTTCAACTCCCAGAAATCCTGGCCAGCAGAGGTGGTGGTGAAGGCTTCTGTGAGCTGTAGTCCAAGAACATCTGGAGGCCCAAGGTTGAGGATCACTGGCACCATTTGACTTGATGGATCTCAGTTACACTGGACAAGCCTACACAAGGGCGTGGCAGAATGATCACCTTTAGTGAGTATCCTATGTAAATAAGTACTACAGTGGTGCCTCACATTACAACGTTAATTCGTTCCAGCAAAATCGCTATAGAAGGAAAATGTCGTAATGCGAAAAGAAAAAAACCATTGAAACACATTAAAACCCGTTTAATGCACTCCAAAGGGCTTGAAACACACCGTCCAGCGAAGATCCTCCTTAGGGCGGCCATTTTCAGTGCCTGTAATGCGAGGAATCTGTCCCAGAAAACAGCGGTGGGCCATTTTGTTTACCCGGCAGCCATTTTGAAACCACCAATCAGCTGTTGGAAAATCATCGTTTTGTGAAGAATCGGTTCCCGAAGCAGGGAACCGATCATCGCAAAGCGAAATTCCCCCATAGGAAACATCGTTTTGCGGTTGCAAAAGCGATCGCAAAAACTTCATCGTAATGCGATTTCGTTGTTAACCGGGGCAATCATAAAGTGAGGCACCATTGTACTGTCATAATAAAATGGAGCTAGCATTCCTCAGAAAACAGCCAAAATCCTGTTGGCCTCAAATATATTGGGATTTTACTCTAGAGTCATTTTAAAAAAGTGCCACAAGTCTTCAGGTCAAGAGGACTCTGGTAGCTGTTAGGGCTTGTTATTCTTTGCATGTGATGCCTGAAATGCTCCCAGCTCTCTCCTGCCTGCCACAGAATCGGCACTAGGGAGAAAGTGGTCTTTCGTGGAGCCTTGCCTGCCATGACAGTGTCCAACTGGATGCAGCACATGTGTGTTATTTCTAAAACAAGTCTATATTATCACTCATGAGACAATTTATACGGAAATGAAGATTTGGCAAGTAGTAGACTATCACTGACAAGATAATCCATACCATTTTACTTTTCTTGTATTGTGTTGCAGCACAGTGCTAAGACAGAGAGTTGCCTAGGCAACATGATAACTTCCCTATGTTCTGGTACTCCAATGCAGATTGCAGAGTTTTCTTTCTCCTGTTTTCAAACAGGGGAGTAATTTGAGTTGCTTGTCATCCATGTTGCTCTGGCTGTTTTTGCTGCTGCTATTATTACCATCATTATCATCACCTTCTTCCTCCTCCTCATTATCCTGTGAGGCTTAATAGGCAAAATCTATAGAGTGCGGAATATAATTTTCTCCTTCCATAAGTGTGTCCATTAAATGTGCAGATGAGCCCCAGAATATCTAAAGAGTGCTAGTGCAACTCTTTTTTGCCCATGTTGTGCCACAGAAGAGAACCTGCAGCTGAATCCCTCTTCTGAACAAGACAGTTCTGCTTTGCCTGTTTAGGCTTTGCCATTCTGGAGGGCATAAGGTTAGCTTGCTCTCAAACTCTGCTACAAAGCTCCTCTCATCTGAAGGTAAACTCTCAGTTCTAAAGGCTTAGGCTCTTTCTTGGCCTCAGTCTGTTCCAGAGCAAGGTTGCTTGCTGGAAGCTCTGGGTTTGCCTGTGAGAAGGACCACTCCAGTGAGGGCTTCCCCAGGGTGTCATCCAAAGGATGTCCCCAAATTCATATCCCGATAAATTAATCTCCTGTTTTTGTGCCTGTTGTCCTATGAACTAAATGTCTCACTCAGATACTGTAACATAAAGCGTTTAAAAGTGTCAAATACAGAAATATTTGGAATAAGTGGCAATACTGATTTTAAGTAAAATAAGATGTTTATTATTGTACGTACAACTAGAGAGAGAGAGAGAGAGAGGTAAATTATGGGGCTATGTATGTGCTTAGGAGAGATGGACAAAGTGACAGGAAGTGAAGTCATTTGAGATGATTAGTCTAGGTAAGAAAGGAACAGATTAGGCAACAGAGAACCCTACCATAATTGCCCCGTAGGCATATAATCCCTTATGTGAGCCTGGCTGCACTCTGTTTTCAGCAAAATAAAGATCTCTTTTTAAGATAGCATTTAGTAATAGGTAAAGAATAGAAGAAACGATATTGCTTTGCCCCATTAATTATATTTAATTAACAATATCATCTGATGAGGTAAGAGTTCTACTAGGAATTGAATTTTTTTTTCAAAGCTGATCTCCATATTATTTCTATTATTTAAGTTAAGATCCATATCTTCTACCAGACTTCCTTGTGTACTCGGTAATGGATTCTAGAATCTGTTAACTGTATATGCTTTGTTTTTAAGTGTCTTGTTACTGGGTTAATACAGTTTATTTGTTTGTTTGTTTGTTTGTTTGTTTGCTTGCTTGCTTGCTTGCTTGCCTGTTTATTTACAGTACCAGTATGTTTTAACTGTTTTTATTAAAACGCTGACATGTGGACTTTTGGTGGGAAAGAAGCACATAAATTTAAATAAATGAAGTGTAATCTATAGAACTAAGATACTAGGTGAATTAAAAATTAATGATATTATGGTGCTGAGGAACTTTAACAATTCAAAATTTCTCATGACAAGTTTTTAAAGATTAAGCTTTCGGTGCCTCTCAGTTGCATCACAGCCAGCCAGCCAACAGAGGGAGGCATTTTCAACAGGGAAACTTAAACGCTGACATGTGGAAATCGCTGGTATCCTGAAAGACAGTAGGGTTGTAAATGTGCAAGAGACCCAATGGTTCACCCTTGCAAATAAAATAGGAGGAATGTTTTCCTGGGAGAAAAAGAACAGAGTGAGACAAGAAAGAAATTTCCTTCTCAAATGTTTTTGTAGTTGGTATGTTTACTGCATACCATGGAGATTGTATCCATATAGTTGTTGAAAAATTGCATGAGAGTGAAGGCTTCTAAAACCAGATAAGAGAAGTCCCAGCATCAAACCAGGCATTAAGGTTTATCCTAATTCTCCCATTATCTTCTTCCCAGTAGCCTTTGGTGCCATGCTTTTGAAATTTAACAGCATGTTTAATAGTCATGTCTCATTTTTGAGAAAACAATAAAGGCAAATATTTGTGTATTCAAGATAGGTTGTTTATGCTCTGGTCCAGGCATTCTCAATTGTTTTTGGCCATGGCCATAAATACAACATGAAAGAGATATAGACTGTGAAGAATTGCTACCAATCTGTGGCCCCCTTCAAATATGCCCCCCCAAGAATGGCTAGTCCACAGAAATAAACTTGGGTTTTGGGGAAAAAGGGGGGCACTCTCCCCTTCTTTTCTTGCTTCTTTCTGATAACACTTGGAAGGGTTTCTGGTATTGATTGAGTTTATTTTGATTGTCAGTGCCCCTTCTCCTTTTTCATCTTAAGATTTGATCCAGATACAGTACAAACTCCATGGCTTTAAAATTAGCCACTTTTGCTTCCTCTACATTCCTTTGTTTAACTTCCTGCCCAATAAAGAATGCGGAGCAACTCAAAAGCTTGTGTAGTATTTTATGACTACTTGGCATTGCCCAGTAAAGGTAAAATGGGTAGTATGGATTCATGTTACTAAATTAGAGTATTTCACTGTCCAAAGATTAAAAGCAAGGTTAGGTATCTTGAGTGTTTTGTTATTTAATCTAAATATTTCACTGTCAAAAGATTAAAAGCAAGGTTAGGTATCAGTAGAAGACAGGAGGGCCTGGCGTGCTCTGGTCCATGGGGTCACGAAGAGTCGGATACGACTAAACGACTAAACACACAGGTATCTTGAGTGTTTTGTTATTTAATCTTTCAGATATCAGGAAAGTTCTGAGCATCATTTGTCCATGATAATTTCGTAGCATCAGAGGTTCTTCAGGCCAGGAGCTAGAGGAACAAGAAAGGCCTACAGCTTATCTATTTATTTATTCATATATATCATATTTTTCCATGTATACAACCTCCCCAATGTATAAGATGACCCCCAATTTTGACCCTTGCTGGGAGTGGAGGAGCAGTCAATGGGCAGTGCAAGGGTTGGCCCAGCATGGCTGCACCTCTGCCTCCTGCCGCCGCCGCCACCACCCAGTTGCCTCCTCCAGTGATGGGGCTCACCTCCGGCTCATGTCGCCGCCTTGTCCCCTGCCTGAAGGGAGCCCATGAGTGGCTGCCACCTCCGGATCGCCTCCTCCAGCACCTCTTGCGGGCTCCCTGGCACTGGAGGAGGCCATTGGGGGCTAGAGGAACAAGAAAGGCCTACAGCTTATCTATTTATTTATTCATATATATCATATTTTTCCATGTATACAGCCTCCCCAATGTATAAGATGTTCCCCAATTTTGACCCTTGCTGGGAGCGGAGGAGCAGTCAATGGGCAGCCATGACAGCAGGGCTGCTCCTCCGCCTCCTGTTGCTGCTGC